TATTTTGCCATTCAACATGCAGTCACACTTATAAATTGCATTCCTACTCCCATTTTGCATGAAATATCACCTTACACAAAGTTATATAATAAAGATTGTGATATTTCTTCATTTAAAGTTTTCGGTTGTCTTTGTTTTGAAAATACTTTATCTGCCAACCGTAAAAAGTTAGATGCCCGAGCTGACCCATGTGTATTCATTGGTCTCAAAGATCACACAAAAGGTTCCCTATTATACAATCTGAAAAATAACTCCATTGATGTTAGCAGGAATGTGTTATTTTATGAAAACCATTTTCCCTTCATTCGAAAAGCTCAAAATAAAGACAATGAAATTTCTTTGTCCACTAGTCACCCTATAGCCAAGACTTCTTTTCATAACCAGCCTATATGCTTTACTCCTACAGCAGAACAAGCCACTGTTCATGCCAAATCTCTGTTCGTCAGCCCTGCAAAATCACCAGAATTCTCTTTTGACTGTACTCAGCCTTGTCCCAACAACACTCAACCTATTATGTCTCGGTCAAACACCCCTGAGCCACATGATACCAATTCCCATTCAGATTCATTTTTAGATATCCCTATCTCCTCTCGTGAGTCTCCACCTATCACTAATTCTCCTCAGTCAATCCATTTAAGATGCTCATCTCGGACCCGTTTGCCACCAAACTATTTAAGAGATTTCCATTGCAATATTGCTACATCTATGCCAACTTCTTTCAATGTCAGGTATCCTCTCCACTCTTTTCTATCTTATAATCGTCTTTCACATTCCTTTTGACATTTTATTTGTTCCATCACTATGATCACTGAACCACACTCATATATTGAGGCTTCCAAATCTGACTGTTGGGTTAAGGCTATGAGGGAAGAACTTGCTGCTCTTGAGATGAACAACACCTGGACCTTAACTAAGTTACCCCCTGGCAAGGTTGCTATTGGATGTAGATGGGTTTACAAGGTTAAATATAATGCTGATGGAACTATTGAGAGGTATAAGGCCCGTTTAGTTGCCAAGGGATACAATCAACTTGAGGGTCTTGATTTTCTAGACACGTTTTCCCCTGTTGCTAAGATAACTACTGTAAGAATGTTGCTTGCTTTGGCATCTATTTTCAATTGGCATCTTAAGCAACTTGATGTCAATAACGCCTTTTTGCATGGGGAACTCAATGAAGAAGTCTACATGCATGTACCACAAGGTCTTTTAGCCCAACATGATCAAGTTTGCCTTTTAAAATGCTCTCTATACGGTCTTAAGCAGGCAAG